TTGAATGTCATAAGTTGGATGATATGAATGTAATAGATTTGCGAGTGGCGAACTCGTGGCTTACCTTCTTCCCGTCGCGGAACTTGACGGTGCCCTCGATGATGGTGTTGTCGTCGGCCATGTCTCATGCCGCGCCGCCGGCGCAGCCTTCGGGACTAGGCTTGCTAGGACCCCATTTGCCAAACCATCGCGCCCACCCCAACTCAGCGACCTACAGGAAAATAATTTAGAATCGTTGGTCGAAGTTCAATCAAACGTTACACCTTTGCAGGCTTTTTTAACTTCACGACACAGTCTGAAGAATATCTACGTTACTTTAGAAACCTCATTTAATTCCAAGCGTGAAGTGTTTAGCAAAATATATCTTTGTAACTAGAATTGCGAAATAGTCACATGATCGACATTAAGGTTATTTGTACCTTATCAATTGTTTTTTAAACGCAACACCCTTTTTCCAACCGTCTTGTATAACAGTCTGTCTCTGTTAGTATCAAACTTATAATCCAGTTGGACAATTTTTGTTGATGATTATTTTTTTTTAAATACTAATACATACCATATCACCACCAATCCGCAGTGGGGCCGTGTGATGGACTGTGCCCTGATACCCTCTGTATAGAGGAGGCCTTTGCCCAGCAGTGGGACATGTATAGGCTGATACCTTACTTTTTACTTTACTTACCATATCACCGCCTTGAAGATTTTTTGAATAATCTTTATTATTGTAAGTAGTCTTTCTTTTGAAAGGCGGCCATCTCTCCAAAGAATAATCTCATTTAAGGAAAAATTAAGCGTTTAAAAAAAATGTTTGGCGTGTACCATCCTTAACATTTAGGGGGGTGAAAATTAGATGTTGTCCGATTCTCCACCCTGGCAGAAATGCACACAAAATTTCACGAAAATCGGTCGAGCCGTTTCGGAGGAGATCAATTTAAAACACCGTGACACGAGAATTTTGTATTTTAGATTATTCTATGTAGTGGTTGTAACGGCGGGGCCGCGTTTTCAATTGCATAGAACAATCCGAGTTCTGCTGTTTTAAAAATCTGAATGTAAATTTATTAGATGTTGGTCTCATATTTAATATATTGCCGAATCCCAAAAGTGAAGCAATAAAACGTATTTGCGGCCTTGTTCAAATCAATAAACAGTAATTTTCGATTTATATAAATCTATAATTTTAAGGATTCGTATTCCGTAAGTTGTTGTGACCTGTATAAGTTACGATGGGGTTGGCGTATCTTTATAGATAAAAGCACCATAAAAATAAAGATAATAAAAAAAACCTCGATTTTATTCTGGCATGGTAAAATTGATAACTGCAATTTTATTCTTTATATCACTTATTCACCGTGTTATTAAAGTAACATTTTGAAGACGTAAAATTCATCAACCTCAACCCAGAAACTCACTCGTCTCATGGTGGATTAATGCCAATATAACCTACAATCCAAACAAATTTTAGTTTCAAAATTTTGAATATTCAAATTTTCACGGGTTCACCAAAAACTGTGTAAGTAGTTCGACTATGACGAGAATCGGAGTCGAAGGTTTTTCCTATAACTTCCAAGTCACGCGCCTATGTTCGCATCATCTCGCATGTTAACTCGTATAACCAAAAGGCAGCGCTGCCGCACCTCATTCTGCAGCTAAGTATTATTTTTTTCGAATAATAAATTCAGAATGGCTACAATTTTGCGTTGATTACGTTTTCTTAATTGACGACAAATGCCGTAAATTAATTAAAAACCATGATATTCGTATATTTACATTTAATCGCCTTAAATACATAATTATAACAGTGTAAGCAGTCCCAATGTTCATAAATTACGAAATCAACATACGTTACTCTTAACGAAAAGATAAACTCGATTGAAGGACAAACTTAACTTTGCTGTTGAAAAAGATCTAGATCGATTCTTTTTAATACATTTGTTAATGATCATGATGATGTGTTGTTTTTCATTTATATTTTTTGTGCTGAAAAACCGTAAGGATTTAGTATTCGGGCGTATTTCTATCAGTGTAACGCACACAGCGGCCTTACGCTATCAACGTCAAGAGAAGGCGGATTTCAGGAATGTAATCCGCTCCCACCGGCAACTGCCTAATCCGGTCCGAGCTGGGGCTTAGGATGCATCGCGTAACGACGCAGAGTGATAGGCGACGTCACTTTCCAGGCAGCGCCCGCTTCTATTTGGGATGGTCTACGCTGAACTGAACTTTTGTCTCTAGTATAAGAGCCAGGAATTTTTTTGAACTAAATTGAAAGAAATGCCGACGTGAATTCAAGTTTGCACTTTGAATTTCTTTCTCTATACAAATTTGAGACTAAAACTATGTCAAAAATGTTACTAGTACCACCACTACAAGTAAGCAAAGTCCCCCGCGTAACAGCTGCGTTAAAAATGTCATTACTGAGTCATTCTATAAACTAAAAGACAATGCCCCGGAGAATGCAACAATGAAAGAATGTAATTGAGTTGTTCTATCCCTGGGCGGCCGTACGTATGCTATTTATGGTGAGCGTTGCTACGGTAATTGAAACCGAATAGCATATTGATAAGGTTTATTTCTGCGTAATAGGCAGCACGTGAACGGCGGGCTAAGCGGTTTATGTGGGGATTTAGTTAATACGGGGCCGCTATAGGCGAATGTGCTTCGCGACGCCTTACTGGCGGCTCGAGTTAGGGATGGCATTTGGGTTGTGCAAAATGCAATATTTTAAATACCTACATTAAAGATTTATAACAACTTTACGTTTAGGTTCTATACTAATAGTGTGTCTAATAAAATAATTACCCAATTTACTTGTAACAATTGATACAATAAACCGATTATCGCTGATAAGATTATCTTAAGGTTACTATAAAATTTGTTGTATCTTATAAATAAATGTTTCTCATGCATCATATCACTTGATCATATTCACAAATTTCTTGTGTCTGTCACGTTTATTACTATAATCCCGTTGAGATAGTGATTCCCTTGAAAAGTGAGTATTTTTTTATTCATGCTATTAAATGATTTAGCCTATCTTCTATAAGGTTGTTGCATGAGTTTTTTTCTAATAATCTCATTTGGCTAAACTTAATAAGTAAGGATCCGTTACTGTTACGGTTTTTCAACAAAATAAAATGTTATTCATTCGTCTGGTGGCATCCCTTTTGTCGTTTGTCGCACTGCAATGCAGCCGGCCGTTCCCAGGTGGTTCTGGCCAGTTTTGCAACTTTATCTATCGCCAACCTGTTCTTGAACACGGCTCTCGCATAGCACCACTTGCATTTCTTTCATTGGTGTTACCAAATTCTTAATATATAAATTCATACTTTATTGGTCCGTTAAGAAATACTAAAATCATCTCAATGTTCTTTTTAAGCCTGATCCCTGATCCCATCCAATTGTAATATACACGTGGAAGATGGGTATTAAAATACACTTTTGAATGCTCTGCTTTATCTTCTTTCTTTTCTTTAAATTTTGAATTTCGTGTAATTTGTCAATGATTACAATTTGTGTATTCCTCACATTTCTTGACTTTAAGCCCTGGTCCTGGGGATTTTGCAATAAAAGTGCCAGAGCACCTACTAAAGCATCTAGATTCCTTCCATTTAACTATGGAAACCACTAAGAACTTTTTAACACATAGACTGCCTAGTAGAATATGGTATGTGTCAATGTTAGGTTTACCAATTCTAAATGACTGTTGTATTAGTGTTAAAAGAACAAACTCGCTTGTTGCTGATTGACCCGAACGCAGATCATCCGAAGCACATTTTCATATATATTGTAGATGTGTCAACCTGTAATATTGCGGGTTCACCGTCACGATTCATCTACTCGTTAGCTATCCCTTTAACGTACCAACCATGAAAAAATAGCTGAAAGTTTCCATTTGTTGTAGTGCTGACATTGCTAATTCCGTTCATTCAATGTAATTCTTGACATTTGTTCACGAATGTAATTACGAGCGATGTGAAGCCACTCGTCGGGTGGCGGAGCTCATGGGCGAATTCCGTTCATTCGGTCTAACCACATTCAGCGTTAATTTTAACTTGCTAATTAACATTATACTATATAATATATTAAGTGGGGCCATTGCCATTTACACATTGCCACCACGTTGACCAATTTATAGAATTGGTTATCTATCAGTGAAAACGGAAACCAGTTGATGAGTTAAGAAGAATTAAGAATGAATTAGCTTAAAAAAATCTATACTAAGTTTATTGTATTTCTAATAATGAGTAAGTGTTGACCTTATTAGAGCATTACTTTAGCGATGGGTTTTGTCGTCGAGGAGTTCTTTTCTTGTAGGTGGCTAATTGGCTATTATTTTTATTATCTATGGGGCGCTTTTATTTGTGTTATTTCGGACCTTGTATTGTATTTCTTGAAATAAAAATCCAACACATAGTTTTGCCAATCAGTAAGTATAATAGTTAAAATTTTTACGTGTCTAAGTGCTAATCAGACTGTTAATTAGTAGCAATGAAATTATTTTGGAACTTCTTTGCTAACTGATGGTTTCAAGGCCGTCAGAGAAAAGGGAATTTGTGCATTTGGGGTACATCAAAATGTCGCCTGCTAACAACCAAAATTGAACTTGTCACCCACGTTAGTAATAAATAGGAGAAGAATCAAAAAAGTTTTTGAAATTCCTAATATACCTTTACTACACATCTTACCACGGACTTACAGTCGGATATTCTTATTGCCCTCCGTGTGACGGTTGGGAACATTTAAGATGATTACATGATTGCGTTTGTTTTTTTAATCTTGATTTCCGCACAGGTTCATATGAATGACAGATAGTCGTTTGTTTTTCCTTGAACCACCATGTGTATTTGAAAATGCCTCAGCGACAAGAGAATCTCAACTAATCATACAATCCTTTTCATGGAGAAAGGGGTATATGTGTACTGCCGCTGCCCGATTAATTATTCAGACGGCGCCCACACTCGGCATTGAGATGTTGAAACAATAAAACACAGCGCATAATGATCCACGCAGTAACGAACATTGAACAAATATGCGATTGCGTCTCGTTGTCGCTCCGTGTAAGATATTGGGGCGACACCCCCCCCCCCCCCCCCCCCAACCCCTCCGCCCCCGGCTTCGTCGCACCCACAGCGAAAGGGGAGCAAATAGATTGTTTCTTCCGCGAGTCGGCTTATTGTTTATTTATTAGGAGTCGCCCAGAGCGCTCTCCAAGTGCACGGGGACCCTGAGAGCCTCTCGCCAGATGCCGATTCGCTAATAAATATACCGCTAAAAGCCATCGCCATTGTGAAAGGAAAATATCAGCCATGACTCCATTTCTTCAGAAGAAATTTTTAAAAACTTAATGGATTTTTCCTTTGCCCTTTGTGTTGTGTTGCAGCTCACTATAGTGTCAAGGGACAATTCAATAATCACGTTGTCACAACAACAAAATGGAAAAGTAAGAATTGAAGATTTCAAAGAGAAGAAAAGAAAATCATGTTTACATAAGGTTTTAATAATGATTGTCAAGATATTGTGCTATCTTAATATGTAATCTAGCGGAATATCAAATCATTTTGTTAAATATATCAAGAAACATTCATCTTAATGGAATATTTTTGTAACCTTAAAAATTGTGGGAAACAGAAAAACCATTGAATGAGATTTATATATATGGTGCCTACGTAGTGTTGAATTGTCATGGTGTTTTGCAGCACTTGATGTACAGTAACAATAAGCGCTGGCACGTTGCCCGAAAACTTATATTTTCCCTATAGCAGGATATCTCGCTCCACTATTAACGAATTTATACAGATTCCATAAAACTGAACTGCCACTGTTGCTCGGGGCAAACTTTTTACCTACAAACTGTTGCGACTCTCGACTGTACTTAAGTATTACAAAGCGGAAGCTTCGCAACAAAGTTCTTAACCGTGAATTATTTGCCTTTTTCCGTGCGAGCTCAAAGCTCCCGTACCTGGGGCTACCGTCACGCTCCTGTTTGTTTTCGGGCACCGTTTGTGTGCTTAGGCTGAATGGCCGAATGCCAAATGGACTCGTTAGCGCACCCGGCCGCTGCCAAAACACATCCGTCCCGGGTTGCTTAGTACGCTCGCCGCGACTCGGAGACGGTTCAACTCTAATTACTTACGAATGCTTTATGAATACATAATTTCACCGTGACGGAAGCGAGCCCGTTTGTTATATGAATAAGTTACGGACAAATTTCATTACCTCGATGTATTGCTTTGTGACGTTACGTCCACGGTATTACAAGTATTCCGTTCACTTCTAATTTAATTAGCAAATGGTATGTTCAGTTTCATTATATCAACGTAAAGAGTCGCTGCAGAGCAAATGTTTTTATCGTTGCAGGCCATTAATTTCCTTCTAAATCTCAGCGCCAAAGGCCCTCCCGTTGTAATTTATACGGCTACGGAGCGCGTGCTTAAGTATGTGTAAGCACTTTGTGAGTACACTTAAGCTCCTATCCACTATGTCTTTATGTTTAAAATTTCATCCTCCTTTACATTAAGAGTGTAATGTTAAAGTATTGAACATGTGATTTAATGTAAGAATATAGTAATATGACTACAACTATATAGTTGTGCAATAGAAAAGTAACTAATTTGGTTATCGTCCACAGCACACGCTTCTCCGATCTTGTTTGGCGGACGTCCATGCAGTGCATTGCAATGTGGCGCCTACCCGCAGTACGATCGTGTTATCCACAACAGTACAATTTAAAATAAACAAGTATTCACTTAAAATCAATAATTATTGTTGTAATAGTCAACCTTCGAACCATTATATTTTTTGACTCAATTGGGTGAACTATCTGTAAAGAATCGTCGAGCAGAGCGAGCTTCATTATATATATCGGTAAATAACGACCTAATTCCATAATATTCGTTTTGACTGTCGTTACATTTATAAATATGTTACAGTAATGTTTTTTGTTTCACTGAAGTCTTTCTAGTCGTATAATTTCGTAATGCAGAACGACGAAATTGTAATTGGTAAGTTGTATGTATTCAACTTAGGTAAATAATTGTAAGCAATAATAAATTATGTGAATATATTTTATAACTCGAAGTATCGTTACAAGTAAAATAACAAAGCCAATAAATCACAAGCGTCAATATCAGATGAAATTTTGAAACAGTTTGTGGCGTCTTCTGCAACGATTTGATTTGTTTGTTAGATATAAATGCATCATCTAACCAGGGATATTTTTCACAACATACTTTTCCTTAATTTCTAATATAAGTCATTGTTAACGCATGATGATTAAACATTTTTATGTGATAAAGTGGCAAACGAGCTGACGGTTCACCTAACGCTAAATGATAACCGCCACCCATGGACTTTTGCAACACCCATAGGGTTGCAAATGCCACCTTTAAATAAAGTGGGCCCCGGCTACCTCACTCACCAGATGAAATGCAGAAGTGTAACACTCCTACTTTACGCCGGTCTTCTGTGAGGTGGTGGTACTTACTCGGACGGACCCATTCATACAACAGTGAACACCGTTGCATGGTCCTACCACAGTTACCTGGTACTGCAGTAAAGTTCTGTCAACATTTAAAAATGCAATATCATAAATTACATAACATAACTTTTTGTTAAAAATTAAACTAGGCTTCCAATAGTTTGAAAACTACAACTATAAAGAAGTACATGTTAATCAACTTAATTCGTGTGTGTTGTGTGTTGTGTTTTTTACTCGCGCACAAGGTACCACTTGTTATTGTTTATAAGCATGTAAAGTGCTCACTCAATAATTGTCTTCGTCCATCTAGGAGTAAATTTAGTCTTAAGGATCGGGGCAACGTAAATAACCTACTCATTCCTTAATTTGCATCAGAGTCACACAGCGTCGCTCAAACCCACTGTTAAAAAAACATTTTTGACATTGGAACTTTTCTCAAACTTCTTTCTACGATACTTACAATAAACCTTAAATACTTAATGACCCGATCTTCCCCATACTCGACGTGCACTTATGTTCCAAAATAACTGGTGAGCTGAGAATTGCCAAACATTGTTAAACACTTAATGTTCTTTTGCATCCCCCACACAAAGCGAACCTTGACTCGAAAAGTTTAGAATAGGTTTCAAGGGTGTCAGTAGAGTACAATTTCTATAAATTATCTACATTTGAAATGTTGAGTCAAATCAACTTTTGACATTTTATTTAGATTTTATTTGTAATATACGTATATTTTTTGTTTTGTTTGGGAATGATTGACAAAATAAATGTTAAGTATGTTAAGTTACATGTACGCAATAGCAAGAAAATTGTATGTTTTTCCAAACTAATGGAATCTGTTCAGCGAACGTAGTATTAACTCCGTTTTCCGAATTGGAGCTACTTTTCATATCCGTCCTTATAAAGCTTTTATCGGATTGAGTTCGGAGTCAAGAGCTCGTCGCGAGGAAGATCACAAAGAATCGTGAGCAATGTCCGCATTATTATATTTTCGCTTTTGTAGCATTTCCACGGGATCCAATTTTCGAATGTCGTCCATCTGCTTACGTGTAACGGGATTAAAAATGATTCAATGTTACATTTTCATAAGTAACTAAGTAAGGCGGGGTTGAATCTTGAGATTTTCATCGAGACAACTTTCGTGTCTGCCAAGGTACAAGAGTATTCGTACGAGCTTTATATAAATGTATAAGATCTATATAAAATTACTTTTGACTTTTTTTTAATACAAAGTTATCAAGGGTTAATTATACGACAATTACAGTTTATTTACGATGACAATTATACCATGTTTCAGATGAATACGCTATTCTATTATAAAGAAATACTATCTACTAGCGAAAAGCTGAGCTTTGTGAGGGCTCGCGTAGTTTTTCTAACATACGGTAATAATTTTTAAGACAGTTTTATTAATTATAAATTTTTATGTTACTTCGTTTATCAAAGGGAAATCGTTAACTGCCAATCCTGTATGTTTTCGGACTTGAAAACGCGACATATGTAATACCAATAGATGTTTCCTTTTCCACAGTATCTACAATAGCTTTATATAATGTTAGGCCTGGTGACTCTTGTATTGTAATAGCGAAAGCTAATTGCAATGGCAATTGTTTTCTTGAACAATCAATTGATATTTCAACTTTTCATTATTAATATATTGATGATATTGGAACACAGCCCTTGTTGTTATAAGTTGAATGAGAATAATGTTCAAATAGAACCTTTATCACTCGAGGCATTTGATCAGTAGGACTATAATTTTCTTCGTATACTATATCTTCGACACAACCTAATGCTCTATCGACTAACCCATTTTCAAACATTAACATTGAACGTAACATAACTTTTCATCCAATCGATTAAATAATATATGGTTCAAGGGCAACTAATAGTTCTGCGCCAATTTTGCCTTATAACAATTATGATAAGCTGAAGTATAAGCATTTACCTTAAAACCAAAAATTTCTTCTACACAACCTCGATGTCTAGCATTCAACAACAGTGCGATTTTCAAGGCATTTCCTACCTCGCCCAACCATACTGTGAAACCAACTCCTGCCGGCGGTCTTTCCGAACCGTTACGACCTCGGAATCTTCAAGAAGAGAGCATATATACTCCTTCCTTAAAGGTCGGCAACGCATTTATTAACCCTCGGTGTTGCAGTGTTTCATAGGTGGCGGTAATCACTTACCATCAAGTGAGCCTGATGCCTGCTCGTTTGCCCCTTTTCTCCATAAATAAGTTAAGATTAATAATATTTATTACTTTGGTAATTTTTTTTTTGGAAAACACTCTCATTATCAGGTAGGCCTTGTGAAATATTTTCATTGATTGTAATATCACGATACCAAGGATTATTACTTTTGCGACATATCAAAGCTGCCCTAATATTAATAACTACACGGTTGACAAAAAATCTTTGTACCCTTAATATTTTCTAAACAAAATATACTTTTGCACTTAAATTTACTTATATTATTGGGCAGTTAAAATTAATGGCAAATTCTAGAAAAATCTAATTTTCGTGATATAAATTTGATTCTGCCTCTCGTTCTCTTTTCTAACGTTCTCTCGTCTGAGTCATCAACAAATTTTACGGCCAGTGAGCCTTTGCGTCATTTTACTGTAGTATTTTTATTCTTTGTTTCACTGTAACAATATCATTAATATACTTAGGTGAAATTTTTGACTGGTTTTCACAAAGTTGTCGTTCACACATTCCTATATTATTTTTTGTAGGTGCTCACTAACAGTTATTTCAAAGCATGTTCAAAAAATGTCAATCTTAGTTTTGTTGCAGTTGCCGATGTTAACTCTTTAGTTTTCTAACAGATGGCGTGAGTAGTACAATAACATTGTATCCAATAAATATAAAAAAAACAAATTACATTTTTTTGGCAGATAACACATCTAGATATGAAGTTAAATTACTGTGTTAAGGCACAAATCTATAGACCTGATAGTTTTTCCGTAAAGTGTACCACAAAAGTGCTCAGATTGTCGAATAGTGTTAGGTCTCGCTTCGCTCGCCCTAATAAGGTTACTTTATTGTTAGTTAATTTTTAAACATTTCATTTTGCATTAATATTTTTTAATCAAAGCCATTCACCTTGGTATGTTAAACATATTTGTTATCTTAAAGTACTAGATGTGACATTAAATATTCTGTTTTAATGATATTTATTGTATTGTCTGAGCTCATCCGGGGAAGTACCAAGTCCTCACTTAAGACCGGTGTAAAGTAAAGGTATTTTTTCGGGTTTTGTCTGACGAATAAGGAGTATACCCCTCCCCCTCAGGTGTTGCATGTGGTCCATGGGTAGCGGCAATTGATTAACATCTGATGAACCATTTTATGTGACGAGTTGTCAATCGTGCTCGCTTGCTAAATCAAATATGTATCAATTGGTTAATTATACAAATAAGTACATCTGCCGTTTAACAATGTTAGATTCAATTTAGTGTGGAATGCGTTAAGACTAATACCATGTGAACCAACAATCCAATACACTTCAGTCCGGTATCAGTATCTATAGTAGAGATGTTCGGTCGGTATCAATTACACATTATCTATGATCTGTAATTATCCCTAGTTTGCGCTAACAACCACAAAGGCATAGCACAAACAATTAAAGGCAATGGAGCAGATACAAATATTCCATTCGAAAGCGTTAAAGGACACCGCTCCATTCCGACTGTCTGCAGGCGCATTCGCAGCGTTTATTGGCCTCGACTAACGGCGGGCACAATGAGTAAATAGTAGTGAGAAATAAAAATTTCTACTTAGTGACTTGTGGGACACGTCCAGTGCACTCTTGAAGCCTTTAACGAGGCGCGGCAAACTGCAGTGTGTGCTTATTTCCGTCTAATTATTCCCTCGAGTGGCGCTCATGCACATTTAAAGGCAAACGTTCCGTTTTCTGTATCTCCACATCGTTGCGAGACCGCCGTGGAGCGACGACATTGCTCGAATAAACGTTTTTCAATTTGAATCTAAGCTTAGGCCATACCGTTCGGGATTTGAAAGGAATTACAGTCCCCTTCGCGGGAGTCGTAAAAAAAGATTGAGGGTTTTGGGCGAAGAGGGCGGAAAGCTGACGGTGCTGGATGTGTATTGTTTTTCTTATCACTGGGCCGATTTTTCTAAATCACAATATCATTTTTAGCGTCTGCGAATATTAATAAATAATAATCGAATCCTCTTAATAAATAATTCCTCTACAAATAATCTAATTAATATTTGAAAAGGTTATGTTTTTTGGAGCTGCTAAATATCGTATTATAATGAGACGGTACGAGACGAAATAATTAAACTTCAACGAGATCAAATGATTTGAAACTGTTGAAATTACCAACAGCCGAGCTGCCGTTTATCTACGGGGAAACCAATGATAATCGAACCGATAACGAATTGAATTGACTCTTGATAACGAAACATTAAAATAGTCTAATGATACTCTGTTGACGCAATTATTGTCGAGCTATTACAAGCAAGTCATCTTTTCCTCCAGATTACAAGTATTTTTATGTTAGATAAACAATCGTCCCGGATCTGCGTCAAATATGCAATTGATGCATGTCAATGCGATTTTTATCACGATGAACATTAATTCGTAGATTAAGTCCGAACTTAATATGAAATTGTACATTATTAATTCACATGTATAATAATTGAGACCGTAACAGGTCGACCTGTGATGACAAGCTAGTTCACTATTTTATTTCGCATACGACCGATAATGAATTCGTTATTAAGTTTGTTTCACTTTAGCACTTGAGGAACCGTACGCGTGCTTATTTACCTTTTACTACTATTAAAAATGTTTCGCCTACGAGTACTACAAATAATTAGATGTAATTGTTTTAAGATGTGTTCTGTAATGGCAACCTTTAAAAACGTTTAGCTTAAATTATTGCATGATTTTAAAGGTCAATAAAGGACATATTAATAAAAACACATAAAACTTAAGTTACTAACTAATGGATAAAAGACTTATCCAAAAAGTTGTTAGAATCGTTTTTCATACAATTTTTATTTAATTCTTATTCCTGGAATAGATAGGCACCTAAAGTAAAATGTTATCATTACAACATAATTCTTTAAAAAAAATACTAACATAAAACAGAATTTACAAACTCTTCTGGTGTGCCGAAAGTATTTTTACATTATTCTATTCATATAAGGATAATATTAATAGTTGGACCACAATACAAAGAGGTTACATATCAAAGGCAGCTAGATATCCCCTATAATAAAGTTAATTAGATTAGATGATTACCAAATACTTAGAATAAAGTAATCATCAAAATAAAGGCCAATGAAATACAGTAATAGAGCACCAAGGGCGAGGAGACTTTTTGGGTTCTCGAATATGAGAAAATTCCATTGTAATAATCTTCTGTATAAGGTGACGTACACTTATGTAATCTTTTGTAATTTATTGTTTTTACCTAAGTGATCGAATATATAGGCCTGCATCTATCCGTGGCAAGTTATATAGTATCGTTACCAAGGAGTTACTTGAGCTTAATTAAGATGTGGCAAAATATAACTCTTACTTAGATTGCAATTTTGATCACCAATTAAGATTTGCAGCATTAACATGCATTCGATGAAAGCTAGGGTAAAGAACAGTCTGATGGTCCGTTAGAGGTTTAGTGCCGTAGTATCGAGAACCATTGGCTCTAGATTTGTGTTCGTGGATTGAAAGTGACAAAGACGTGGTAATTTGCATTCATATTTGTAGTCTGTTAAGTGGATACGATGTGATTTCCAAAATACGAAAACAAACTTGGTGATTTAAAGAACAAGAATCATTTAAAACTCCCTCGGGTGGAAAGAATATCAACAGTTCTAAACTGAATTTTTCACCCTATTGGGTAATATCAGTTTTTGGCGTAATGATGTTTAATGCTCACGCAATCGCCGTAGTTCAATTGACATCACTGCCCTTGGTTATAGTAATCCAACCTAGACTATTAGTACGATGTTTGAGGTTCTCTATGAGTGTCTTATTTTCAGAAACACTGCATCTAATTGGCCTAATAGCCATATGATACTGCTATAGTCTATGTAAATAAAAATCAGTTAAAATAGTTTCATTTAATACTGTTAGAGTTTTCAATTAGTTGTACGACTATCAAGGTCGAGTACTTTCCAAATATGCTGTCGCTTGGATTTAGTAAGTAGTTATTTTTAATTTAACGCTACATAAGAATGTTCGTAATACTTTATTTATTATGATAAAGCAGTTAGAAACCGCTTAGTTCTACAGTAGCACACTGAGATTTCAATTAGCACTTTCCTGCTAACTAAATACATTCAGTTTGAAAACTTTGTTCGTTAATATTTCTGCATAAGACTCTACCTAATAAGTAAACTAATTAAAAGAAAGATAATATTAAATATCACATGTTCGTAGTGCATAACAGATATATATATATATACCTTATATGTTCTTACACAAAAATTCAATAAGATATAGGGTATAGACTCATAAAGCTTAAAAGATATATAAGAAAAGATTTTCAATATGTGTACAATTTTCAAAGTGTTGAGCTACGGGGTTCATGCAATAAACATGAAACGTTTTACTGATAAAAATCTAAGTAATACTTAGTTATTGAGTTCCAAAAGATTTTAATTTAAATAGTTGAATTTGACTACAGTACATACCAAATGACTATGGACCTGTATGTCAAAGTCGCAAGTTAATAAAATAAACATTAAAATAAACCAAAGAAAAACAAATTGTACTTCTGTCAGAAATAAGTGTAAAAAAAATCAATCCATACCGTACAGAAAGTCACAGCTCGAGAATTATTACTTTGAAGTAGACAGTGGTCACAATGCACATGAAGCGGTCGCAATCCTTTCGCACTCGTCGATAAGTCAAGAGCGCTCTCGCACGCGCGACGCGGAAACTTTCGGGAAGTGAGAAGCTTCGCGGAGGAGCGCGCCAATCGGGAGGCACCTCGTTGCGCGGGAACGGCGGCCGGACTGCCGGGAGCGCTCCCGGAGGACAAGCCGCGGCGGGCGGGCGGGGGGGAGATGAGGGGTTAGGAGGGCGGCGGGGGCGGTGGGGGGGCGGGGGCGGACTGAGCCTGGACTGCGGCTTCGCGAGTTCTCGCCTCTCCCACGGGAGATCCGCTTCCTTGATTTTTCCTCTAATTTAAGTTCGGCTCCCGCTTGGCGAGTGGAAGAAGAAAAAAGTTTCATTAGCCTCATGTTTTTAAGTCTGCATGTGGGTCGGTGCATGATTTCTTTATATCTTTATGGCCGGCTTCGCGCAGTACCTAGTGGAACTGCCTCTTGCGCCGGAGCCTGTGGAGTCGATTCCCTCTAATGAAAAGGCGTTTGTTCATAATAGTGTTTCCTAGTGTATATATGTGTATAGTATGTATTTATTGATAAGTTAAAAATATATGTATATATATGGGTTACTTAGTAACCATAATAAAACCTTAGCTTGAGACTAGGCAAAATTAAGAGTTAAAAAGGGCGATGTGAAGTTCTGAAGGGTGGGGAATGGCGTATTGGTTCCTGAAAACAACGAGAGATTATTTTTTTTCAAATTTATTTAGAAAAAAAATTGTTACTGGTAGACGTATCTGTTGTTTGCACTAAAATATGATTATCCCCTTAGTGTTAATGTACGTAAGAGCTTTGTTTGTTTCTTCCTTACTGCTGGTCTCAGTAAACCTACGTGCTGGTGTTGGGGTTATCAGTAACATATTTTTTTTAATTGAAAAGTTGTCAAACGAGCAGATGGTGCACCTGATGTTAAATGAATACCGCCGCCCATGGGCATCTCCTATACCCGAGGGTTCCAGATGCGTTGGCAACTTCTTGAAAATTGGGCTCCGGCCACCTCACTCACCAGACGAAACGCGAAAGCATTATACTTCCACTTTAGGCCGGTCTTCTGTGAGGTCGTGGTACTTACCGGACGGACGATTCTGCCCATTCGTGCAACAGCAGAGGCCGCTGCGTGGCTCTACCTTGGTACTGGCTTACTCTTGGTATTTTTTCTTATACGCGAATACTACATATCTGATGAATTCTACAAAAAAAGTGTGGTCCGTAAAGTCGTTGTATTAAAACGAATATTTGTATCTGTCGAATACCTACTTTCATTACGCTCGGAGAAAAAATTTTGAACAAAATGGAAAAATGCCTCAACGATCAGTTTAAATAATGAGTTCTGTTGACGTCGGAGCACGAATATTTGATTACCCACGGGGATCACCCTCAAGCCAATCAACAATTCATATTAATGCATAGCTCAAAATCAGGCGTAACTCGAAATCATAAATTTATTACCGTATGTTACAGATCCATTTGGGTTTCGGCTTGAAGATTAATTTAAAATTACGGGCATATTTAGGTAGCAAATGTGATGTCTTTAATATTAAAAAAAAAAAAACTATTAACTTCATATAATTTAGGTGATTCAAAATTTACTATTATATTACATTCATGTTGTATTCCCTTCTTAGTTTTCACTTAATTGAACCCATAGTAAAATTACTTATTAGTTTTGTTTTCGTCGAACAATAAAATCCATTGTATCGTGTAATGTAGCTGTAGTTGTTAAGCACGATATTTTATATTACATGATTATTCCCTGTAGCTTTTAAGATACAAAAATTGTACGAAGGTGAAACGACGAATGCCTTCAAGAATAAGTGCAGGAAAGGGGGCAATCGTACTTCGACAGAGATCTCGTCAGCAGCCGACCTTTTCCACAGCTGGCCGTCGCGCGTCGACTCGTTTGCCACACCAGTGCCACTACCCTTGTCAATGATTCGCCGTCAACTAGCAAGAATAGCGATTTGCTTAATTTATGTTTTTCTCCAACCAACATTATATTATAATGTTACATTACTGTAACAAAAAGCTTTTTCAACAGTTTTCTTGTTTCATTTTCCATCAATTGATATATCGTACGTACAAGACAAATTAGCTATTGAGGCATTTGACTGACTTGCTCCAAACCCACTTTACTTACACTTGGCTTGTAAAGTGTCTAACGCTTCGATAGCTCGGAGTGTATAGATTTCAGTTCTTTCCATTTCAATTCGTTTTTTTTATGCATCCCGTTATTATTTTAGAGTCACGAATTATTTAGTGTGTTATAAACTATAAAAAATACTGGTTTATAATTTGTTTAATGCGTAAAATTCTTTATGTTTGCGCTTTATTACAAAGGTTCGTAAAATATTAGATTCCTCGATAAAAGCAATGGATAAATTTCATCTCAACTCTGAACCGCCCGAAGACGAGGTCCAAATATTTCCTTAAGGACGTGAAATATATGAAAGTTTCGCCGTTGCATGTTATTAAAACCGTTCAGTTAAAAATTCAATTTCGCGACGTCGCCCCACGCACCCAGGGCGGGCGTCGCCCACTTTACGATCGCAATATGGGCCACAGGAATTATATCGACCATTCGCTCGCAACTACTTTGAGCGCAAATCCGAAAACTTTATTAAATCGCCTCGCGGAGCCATTCATCGCAGGGCACCGAGCCGTCGGAGCGCAAGGACTCGATTCGCTCCACATTCTAACAATTCCTCGCCTCGCCCTAACGGCGCGCCCACGCCAAGCTTTTTATCTCCTATTACATATATACATATATATAATATCATTCATAAAAAATGGTTATTTTTAGTGTAGTTAGTACTTTATAGTACGAAATCTTCTACGTTTTTTAACATTTTCTTTGTAGCAAGATACTTTTGCAATTTTTAAATGTTATAAATATACATATAAATATGCATTTAATTACCTAAACTTCAATACATCTCAATTGTTTATAATTAAAATAGCAAAGTTAGGAAAAAACTGGATGAGGGTACGATGCTGATAGTAGAGCAGAAATTATTCTCCATAATTTCCCTTTTGTTTCCATAATTTGCTTTTTCTGGGTCTATACGGTAAGGTGATAAGTGAAAAATTTGAAGGAAATTCTGCAAACGACAGTTATTATTGCAATAATCAAAGCTTTTAAGGATCTAAGGCGAGGTCAATCGGCAGCGATAGTTAGCTGGGAACTGTGAAGCAGTGGAATGGAGGGATGATAAGCGTCCCGGCGCTACTCATTTCCATGTAAGACCGCTCTCCCCGGGGCGATGCTGGATCGTAATTGATATCGCGGTGCACAGCGAGGGGTGCGATCGCCCGCCGCCCCCCGCACCGCACCGCACCGCCGACTTCAGACCCAAACGGGCGACATGATCTCGAATTATCACCGCACACGCCGACTAATAACAACCTCTAACTCCAACAAACGTCATCTCCACTCACGGTAGCGTCAAATCATTTAGTATTGTCACTTAATATTTCGCCGACATTTTGAAGCTCTTCACTATACGGTAAATTATTAGTTGATGCAGAAAGATTCTTACACAATAATAAGCCGTATCATTATTTTGTTGTTCGACCTGAATGGCGTAGTGGGTCGTGTACCTGCCTCCTGCACCAGAGGGTGTGGGTTCGGTCCCCACCACTGGAAAAATATTGTGTGATGAACATAGTGTTTTTCCAATGTCTGAGTGTTTATATATGTATAATATGTAATTATTTACAAAAGAAAAGTATGTTTAAGTATGCTTATCAGTTTTCTAGTACCCATAGTACAAGCGTTGCTTGTACTATGGGTACTAGAAAACTGATAAGCATACATATTGTATTTTTACATAACATTTTCTAGTCTCAAACTAATTTGAGACTAGAAAATGTTGTGTAAAAATGTGTCCTAAAATATTTATTTATTTACTATTAAGTATACAGCGTGTCGTTACCATTCCAAATAATTCCGCGAAAATCAAACAATATAAATTTTATGAATTACAGTCGGACTTCGACCACAAATTGACTTTTAATATTTAAATAAATGTTTAGTATGTAAATAAACAAAGACAAGTAAAATTACTTACTAATTCCCTTTGTATTTTAAATACCAACCACTCGAACAAATAATAAATTGAACGTTCTTAATTGTAGAATATGAACGCTATACAGTTGAATTATCAAAAAATCGCAGAAAGGAATGGTACTTCAAAAATAATTAAATCCGATTACGAATTAAATTATTTTGTGGAGTCTACCGTTGAGACAAAACAATTTCGATGAAATAAAAGAAGGAACAAATACGTCATAATTATTATGATTCCGTCGGAGCATAAAATATAAAAGCCAAAAAAAAAACATCGCGTACAAATCTCCCCATCGACATAACTGAATACACAGTCGCTAATCTCCTATTAATGAATACACATCTGTCTTACTCGCTATAAGGACCCACAAGATATTAATATGTCATTCAAAAACCCTGAAAATAAATAATCGTTTAAACTTCATTTGGAGGTAACGTTAATTCAATTGCAATAATTGATGACTCCGTGGCGCAGTGGCCAAGGTATTGGCTTCGGCGTCGGGGGTCGTGGGTTCGATTCCCACACAGGGCAACTATTTTTGCTACCCACAGATAGTTGTTTCGCATCTGGAAGTTTGTCCGCGTGAAATTTATGTTTGTAAAACGTCCTTACAACACAAGATAATGTTATCCTAAAGTAAGGGCAACGTTTTTAAAAAAATAATAATAATAATCAAATATAACATTAAAAAAACTAAATTTGTGTTTAGCCCAGTTGTCAGCTCACAGTTTTGTTTTATGAGAAGAAATTTGTAATCGGCACACGAATAACTGAAATCATGTATACATATTGATTTCTTGTATTTACTCGAATATTGTTAAATGTAATTAAGTCTACCCCGTGACCATGAAGGCTGGAAAGGTTTCGACACGTCGGCAAATTAAAAATCTAATTAAACGCAATAAAATCCGTAAAATAGTTTTATTTAACAATGAACGTACACAAATTCTACCGCTTCATAGCAAAGTATGGATAGTTGGTAAGCTCGGAAGTAAACATCCGCGGCATGACTATTTCGTGCGTATGGCGCGAGATGCCTCGATCCGATGCAACCGCGCCAAGCCCGCCAAGCACCGCCCCGCTGCCGCGCCGTGGCGTTGGGTCGCGTGGCTAATGCGTCACGTGACACGCGCCAGGGGAGGGCCATTGTGCCCCTGGCGTAAATCATGCAAGCGCTATTAGTTCCTCTAATTTATGACCCACGAGATCGCTCCAATCGGGGCAGGGGACGCGACCTCGGCCCTTTAAAATAATAATCCTATACTCCGTATCATTGCTAGACGTCATAATCGTGTCCCCGATAGTCGTTCCCCAGATAGGATTCGACTGATAAGTAAATTTAGGTACATAAATGTATTGTGTTTAGAGTTTCACCATTATGATTATATAGCGCATATTGTGTTAAGCGAATTCCGAGGATTTTAATCTTAAATAAAACACTACAATATTGATGGATTGTGCTCGCAACACCTTCCTCTGTTTCAAGAATTGCCCAATCGCAACCTTTGGCGGTGCAAACAAGAGTATTCTATTTTGTTTATTTAACTGATCATCTCATTCCCAACTTTTCCTTCTTTGCAGTTATAGCTTTGAGTGCTTGCAGACAATTGTGATAATATTTTAATGACAGCTATTGGCAAAAGTAGTCATTATGGAAATATCTTAAAAAGCACCCCACGCTTTTCTACAGCTCATTTTTTTGTTTATCACACTATGTTTAATTAAAATTTATTAAAAATTATTTTCAACTTTTTAGTTCGGTTATGTACAAAAGCGTTTTTATTATTTCATTTGTTAATCATTATTAATTAATCGCGTACTTGGCACAAATACATTTTTGGGTATTGAGATTTGGAAAATCACTAATCCCGTAGTACCTGATCAGGATTATTGGACAAACTATTTAAATCGTTGCATTGTCATCGGTCCTTAATAAGTGTGCAAAATTCCAATTTAATTCGACGATTTAAAGGACGTTCCAAAATTACATACATAATACATAACAAGGTAATAAAAGCATGTTAAAAACTCAATATGCACAGAAACCTAAAAGTAAAAAGTAAAGTAACAAGCCTATAGATATCGCACGGCTCGGCAAAGGCCTCCTCTTTTACAGAGGGTATCAGGGCATAGTCCACCACGCGGCCCCACTGCGGATTGGCGGACTTCACATATCTTCGAAATATTTTTGTATTATTATTCCGAAAATATGCAGGTTTTCTCACGATGTTTTCCTGCACCGTTGACACGTGATAAGTCAGCACTTCAAATTAACAATTTCATTGGTGCTGGTACCGGGGATGGAACTCAGGTTGCTCGAGTATATCGAATTAAAGGCAAGCGCCCGGACACCGAGCTATCACGGCTCATAGATCTAGCTGGCCTTTAATCCAAGGTGACCAGCCTTAAAAGTTTGAAAAATTCACCTTCAATCTTCCTAGAATACTTAAGCACATAATGTTATTGCTCATAATTATAATAATCAATTTATAATAAAGTATAAATTGACCCTCATAGAAAATATTAAAGTTAATATAAAAATTGATAAAAAAAAAATTGACTTATCACGTGCTCAGCGGTGAAGAAACATCGTGTTGGCAAAACAAAAAGGAATTGTCATTCCAAGTTTAAATGTATAAATGAAGCTTCACGAAGCATTTCATGGTCTTTTGCGTTAGCAAGGTTAGCAAGGTCTGTTAGCAAGAGGTAGGTATAAGCGATAGTGCTGCCCAAACGGTATCACGAGTAAAATCGTTAGATTGATAAGTACCACGACCTATAATATTATGTTACTTACTATTATAATACTTTCGCCTTTTGTCTGGTGAGGGAGGTGGCCGGAGCCCAATTTTCAAAAGTTTGTCAACGTATTTGGAAACCTCGGGTGTAGCAGATGTAGGTGGCGGTATTCACTTAACATCAGGTGAACCGTCTGCTCGCTCGGTAACTTTTCACATAAAAAAATACTAAAAATTATGTACGTAACTATTAAAACGTTAGAAGTCTGCAATAAATAAGAAAAAAAAATAAAAAAAATCGTTACCTTAGATATAAAAATAAAATCACGGTGACATACTATTTTCTGGAGGACAACCTAAGAAAATGGACAATTTTCCGTCAAAGAAAATTTTTAACAATCCTAGACTTATCTAAGGAATAATATCCTGCCGGGTCTCCGTTAGTTTAATGAGTTGAAACATCGCCACGGATTACTGCAGGGAGTAATTGTATTGTATTGTATAGAAGGATTCGCGGGAGATTTTGTAGCGCTCTTTACACTTTTTTCGATATCTAATGAAACCATTAAAAAGTTAATACTATTTATTTCGAAATGAATGTATTGCGTATTCAATTTGGTATGTCTGTTTTATGTAAAAGGTGTATATCATATATCGCGTGATGATCATATATTTGTAAGTGGCGCATAATCAAACTTGGCAATGAAGATAAAGAACGTGATTGTGGGTGTCCACTGCGGATAGGGCTTCGAGGTCGGGGAGTGGGCAAAAGCATCCCTCATTATACACTTCTGTTTTTTCCCTCATTAGAACGTTTACTTAAAGATTTTATTCTAAGGTATCACCGTTAAATATATGCAGTAATTGTATACACTGTGGTAGGGCCACGCAGCAGCCTCGGCTGTTGCACGAATGGGCAGGCCCGTCCGGTACTTACACCACGACCTCACAGGAGACCAGCGTAAAGTGGAAGTATGAAAAAGACTTTCGCGTTTCGTCTGGTGAGTGAGGTAGCCGGAGCCTAATTTCCAAAAAGTTGTCAACGCCTCTGTAACCCTCGGGTGTAGCAGATGTCCATGGGCGGCGGTATTCGCTTACCATCAGGTGAACCGTCTGCTCATTTGGCAACTTTTCACATATAAAAAAAAGTTTTTCCAGAATCAATCCAAACAAAATACCGAATTAACATATCTTATTTAGCATCTCATGATCAATATTTAGTAAATTATGCTTAGCTTGTTGGTTTGCTCTGTATACTTTTGTGTAATTTCGTCTTTGTCAATAGATATATTGATAACTCTTAATACATTAATTTGATAAAACGGAGCAGATAACGTTTGCCTCTCTAAGCCAAGATTGCTATCGGGCTGTGCAAAGTTTGCGAAAGTACACTTGTTCCGCTTATCGAATAATTAGCCTATCGAACTTATCATATCTGTAACCATAAGAACCTGAATAATTAAATAATTCTACACGACATGTTTTTAAATCAAATAAAAAATAAAAAGTTTGTACTATGGGTACTAGATAACTGAAAAACTTACGCATACTTTTCTTTTGAAAATAAACATATGTTGTAAAGAACACACGAGAAAGATACTCGTAATGAAATGTATTTCCTACCTAAATACCTATATTATTATAATTTTATGGCATTTCTCTAAATGGAAAAAACTATTTAATGCTTTTTCCATAAAATTCGGTAGTCATAAAAATAGTTTCCATTTACTTTATGTCCACCGTTTATTAATAAATGAACAGATAACGAACTAAATCCCTAATTAACTAATAATAAGGTGTATTATTATCGCTCGATTTATGTATCGCTTGTATTTCGATTATGGACTCTCAAAGATAATACAATCCGGTAAGTAGGTATTTAACAAGTCGCGTCAACCTGTCCTTATAACTCGACGAGAAAACACCTAAAGAATATAAAAATACGACGATGAAACGACAACGAATAAGGATAAATTTAAAAATGTTTGTTTAAAATGTATCCTTAATATCTCTGTTGCAATCATTCTAATGCTTATCTTTCCAATCCATTTTTTCTATAGGATTGGATATCCTATAAAGAATATTTTTATTTTATATATTTTTTTTTTTATTTTAAGACTTCATGCATATAACTCTGTACATACGCGGACTTAATGCTGTCAGCATTTTCTACCAGTCAACCTTAAGGTGGTACCGAGATTTTGAGGTAGGTGCACAAACATTTAAAATATAAATATTATACTAATTACACATAAATATATACATAATACAATACAATTAAATAAAAGTTTACATATATATATATATATATATATATATATATATATATATATATATACTGTACTATAATAATAGACATAAATATATACACAAATACGCATACATATTTTTATCTGATGATGTCATGAAACTGCTGGCAGCTTTCCCAAAATGTACTTCAGTGCCATTCTCTTAAAAGCAAGGCGATTCTTAGCCATTCTGATTTTGGGAGGAAGCTCATTCCAGAGAAGGATAGATTGAACAAAGAAAGAGGAATGGATAAAATTAGAATGATGAGGAGGACAGAACAGAAGGCGATTATGTTTAGAGCGAAGATTTTTGGTGTTGACTGAACTAAGGTATTGGAAGTGGGGAGCTAAATAAGAAGGAGTAAATGGGGAATCAAGGTAAGAAAAAAGTGTGGTCAAGGCTCTTAAAGAGCGTCGTTGTCGTATTGTTAACCAGTTTAGCTGTGAACGATAAGACGATACATGGTCATATTTGCGGAGATTAAAAACGAATCGAATGCAGTTATTCAGAAGTCGGTCGAGTTTATTGAGATGATCTGCATTCAGGTCGAAGTAGCACACGTCACCATAGTCGATTAAAGGAAAAATTAAGGACTGTGCGAGCGTTACTTTGGTTTTCAACGGCAGGAAATTCTTGAGACGGTAAAGACAGCGCAAGACATTAGTTACTTTTTGGCTGACACTAGCTATTTGATCTCTCCAACAAAACGTCTCGTTAATGAGCAAACCTAAATTATTAACCTTATTTTGTAGTGGGATGGGGGAGCTATCAAAAATAATCGGTGGAAGGCTAACTAAATTTACTCTACTAACAGTACGGGAACTTCCAACTATTATGGCTTGACATTTGGTCGGATTTACAGTTAGTCCAAACTTATCTGACCAGGTCTTAATGGCGACTAAATCTTCATTGAGCTTAAGAATAGCCTCATTAATAGTATCGATTGATGCCTGAGCATACAGCTGCAGGTCATCGGCATAAAGATGATACGCACAGCGAAGATTATGAGTGATAAAGTTTATAAAAACGGAGAATAACAGAGGGAATAGAATACCGCCTTGAGGAACACCATTGATCAGACTAAGCCAACGTGATGAGGAATCACCATTATTGACTGCCT